GTGTTGCCCGTTCCGCCAAAGAGAGAAGGCGTCTTGGCTGTTGTGGTGGCTGAAGAAGGCACTGCCGCTGCTGCGGAAGGTGTTCCAAAGAGACTTCCACCCCCAGCAGCAGAATTGTTCTGCAAGGCAGCACTGAGGCTGCTGTTGAAGCTGAACGACGATGATAACTTCGGCTGCGGCGGTTTCGTGGAAGGCACTTCATCATTCAAAGGCTGCTGCTGCTGCTGTGGTTTCGATGCAGAAACTTCATTCGGCGGCAGCTGTGGTTTTGGGGTGGGCACCTCATTCTGTGGCTGCTGCTGCTGCGGTTTCGGCGGAGGCAGCTCCTTTGGTTTCGAGGAAGGCACCTCATTCTGCTGCTGCTGTAGTTGCTTCGGAAGTTGCACCTCCTTCTGCGAGGACTGACCAAAGAGCGAACCACCACTGCCGCCACCAAAGGCCGACGATGCTCCAAAGGCAGGTAAAGCAGTGGCTGCTGCTGCTGGCGCTGGACTGCCGAAAAGGCTTCCACCAGTCTTGGGCGCCGCAGTGCCAAAGAGACTACCACCACCACCACCGCTTCCAGCTGAATTGTTCTGCAAGGCTGCACTGAGGCTGTTGGTGAAGCTGAACGGCGAGGATAACTGCGGCTGTGGTTTCGGGGCAGGCGGCATCTCCTTCAAAGGCTGCTGCTGCTGCTGCGGTTTCGGCAGCGTCACCACCACATTCTGCTGCTGCTGTTGGGGCTTCGTTGGAGGCATCTCCTTCTGCTGCTGCTGCGGCTTCGGTTTCGGAAGAGTCACCACCACATTCTGGGGCTCCTGTGGTTTTGGAAAAGGAGGAGGCACCACCTCCTTCTGCTGATGCTGCTGCGACGGTTTCGGGGCAGGCATCTTATTCTGCTGCTGCTGAAGCTGCGGGGTCTTTGCCCGAGAGGATGAACTTGCCACTGCCGATGCTGCAGCCGTGGCAGCAGCCGCCGCCGCCCTCTTCTGCTCCTCCCTCGCCTTGATCTTCTCGAGGACGGAGACAAAGCGCGAGCGATTGAGCGAGTTGTTCAAGTCGGCCGCCACCGCGCCGCCTGACTTTAGGTCAGCCAGCGCGGTCGGCCCGCAGACGCGCACCGGCACCGAGGGTCGGTTCACGAGGAAGCTCTTCAGGGCCGCCCGTCGCTTCGGCTCCATACAGGTGACGGTGGTGGTCTTGGCGCCCACGGCATGGCCAGCTTTCTTTCCCGTCAAACTCATCGAATCGCTGAACATCTTCGAGAGGGCGTTCACTCCGGTGGTG